ACATATGCATGGAATAATCTACAGTTCACTGCAGTTTACGAACATGTATTTAATAAAGATTATCCTTAGTAGCAAGCCCTCAAATGTTTACCTTTTTCCAGTCTTCTGAAGGTATATAATCTTCATCTTCCTCCGATTCTTCTTCTATTTCACTGTCTACAAGACATTTTTAGACATTATATAAATAGGAAGATCTTCATAAATCCTTTCCAGACCTGCATTATATTCCAGTAAAACATGTCTTGGAGACAGATTGCCAAAAGCCATTGCTGGTGGGCTATTTGGATCTTGAGCTATGTCATCACAACCAACTTTCTGTGAATGAACATGTGGCTGGAATCACATTACTGAAGAGCAAAATGTGAGAGCACAACTTGGTCTATTTTCAAGTTGAAAGGTCTCCTGTTCTGCCGTAGAAGAAAAAAAAAATCACAGCTAATGTGCTCACCCAGAAACGTTAAATGTCTGGTTAATCAGAAAGACAACAGACAGGACGAAAGTTTTTAAGAAGCAATGATTTCAAAAGAACCATCTTTCTATCTTTGGGGCCCCACTATAAGACTCCATTCCCTTTTACCCAACTTTACAAGTATAGGCTGACAACATTCCAAACAATCAGAGACAGTTGTTTTCTGCAGGCATGCCAGTGTATTTGTTGATTACACCGAAACCCAGATTGTCCTTACTTCCAAATAACTGGCAGGCTGCTAGGCTAGTCATTCGTTTCATTTCAGATCCTTCATCCATCACTGTCTTTCCTCACCCTTACAGCAAGACAGGCATCACTGCCAGCCTCTGTTTAACTGTTTATACTGAAGCACAATATGTGGGGCACTTCAAATCATGCTTTTACATCAGGGGTGGGCAGTAATTTTAGATGGGGGACCACTTCACTAATTTTTTAAGTGGCCCCAGGCCACCCCAGAAGGGGCAGGGCCTCTGGCACAAGGGGTGGGGTCAGGACACTTCCATGCTTCCCCTCCCACAGACCCTGATTAGCCCAGTGGTGGGGCAGCATGTGAAGTCTTTGCCCCTGCCCTCCCCCCACCTAGAGAGAAATACCAGCTGTTGTGAACAGTGGCTCCCTCTAGGCACCTGTCCCCTTGCCAGGGCAGGAGGAGACTTTGCAAGCTCCTCCCAAATCCAGGCCAATCAGGGCCTGGGGTGGGAGGAGTGCACAAAGTCTCCCACTCCCTGCTTTCACTCTAAGTGCCCTCCCCTGCTTTACATGCTCAGGTACAATGATACATAGAAGCACTGAACTTCACAGCTCAGTTAGTCATGGGTAGCAATAAGAAACCAGAGTCCTTAATACCTGATCTGTGACATCTGGTACTTGCATTTGCTATAGTGAATATATTTAGGGGTCCTTAAGACAGGATATGGGTCTCTAAGAGATGGTGGATAATAGTCTGTATTAGGGACTGTCATTTGCATGGTGTTGAAAGGAGCCATATTAATGCCAGCACATATCAGGTAGTAGAAAGACGATTTTATTAAACGCAAATCAGTGTTCTTAAACATTGGCAGAGGAAACAAAAGCTAACTAGGACATCTGTATTAGATAAACATTCAAGGTGAAAGTTACTTAGATTGTAATGTGTTTGGGGCAAGAACTTTTTTCTTCTGCTGTGTTTATGGTGTGCCCAGCACAAGTCCTTGTTCATGACTGGGGCTGCTAGGTGTTACTGCAATCCAACTAATAAACTTGAAAAGGATATAACTAGTGATGTAGATGAAGAGAACTTCAAATGTTAATTTCCTTCATTTTGAAGCACTGGATATATAGAGCTATAAGCAACATTTAACTATAAAAGGTCATATTTTTTGTTGTAAATTATACAGATCTAATACTCCAAGTGCCAGGAATGATGTATTACCTTCCCCTGGTATAATTGGCTACCCCCCCCCCCCCCCCCCCCAAAAAAAAACTGCTTACAATTGAGACCTGGCTAAGGTGAGAGATACATAAAACTAACTAGATCAGTAGTTCCAAGTGGCTGTAAGAGTGAATTTTAAGCATATTTAAGAAACAGAAGGAATAGAGGTATGTCAAGATAAGTATCTAAAAAGCTAATTTCTTTCTGTGTGGTTTCTTTCCCCTAGATCTATTAAAACCTGACAATTTTCAAAATTTATTTTAGTTTCCTGGCTAAGGTGAGAGATACATAAAACTAACTAGATCAGTAGTTCCAAGTGGCTGTAAGAGTGAATTTTAAGCATATTTAAGAAACAGAAGGAATAGAGGTATGTCAAGATAAGTATCTAAAAAGCTAATTTCTTTCTGTGTGGTTTCTTTCCCCTAGATCTATTAAAACCTGACAATTTTCAAAATTTATTTTAGTTTTTTATTTTTATTCATGTTTCCATTACTGAGATTAGACAACAGAAATAACCAGTATTATTTTCTTCATTGCCAATTTCATTTTTCTAGTTCTCAGTCACTAGCACAAGGGTTCTCAAAAGGAATAGACCACAACTTAACACATACTGTCTTGTGGCCCAGTACCTCTCCCATTTAGGATAATTTAGCCTCCACATAGCAACTGCAGCAATTGCTTACTCAGAATGGTTATATAAGAAAAAGTATTTTTATTGTCTGTTTAGTGTGAATTAGCATCTGAAAATAAGGTGAGGCTGCATCAAGCAGCCAGCCAACTCTTCTTGGATCATCAGCAGAGTGCCACAGTCAGGGAAATGATACACTTGAGCATATATCAATGCAAGATTACAAACACGAGGGGGAATATTTGCATGGATCCTTCACACTGGTCAACATGGTGAGCCCCAGTAACTTCAGTGGTCTTCAGGTGGATGGCAAGGGAGTTTTGCAGAGGTGAAGAGGCATGCATATATGGACCTGTCTGCAGGACTAGAGACTATTTAACAGCTCAGTGGAAACGAAGTTACTGAAAGCATTTCTAGTGACCTTAAGTTTTGCTCCTCTCTTTAAATTTGCACCAGATTTAATCCTACACTTTTCCTTTAATAAAACTAATGTACGTAGTCCATGACTTGTAGAAAAGAGAGATGCTTTATATCATAACAGTGGACAACAAAAACCTTATGTTTAAGTAACCTGATAAAGAACAAAAGTGGAAGAAAAGAGATCTGACTACACAAGCAGGAAGACTTAAATTGTTAGTAACAACATTCTATTATTTTTAGATCTTAAATAAAGTTAGGACAATTTAGATGATGGTGCTTAGTACTGAATATCACATACTTGTATCAAAATATTTACATCGACGTGGGTGAATTATCTCCTGTGGATCCTGAGAAGCAACAGATGGTGCTGGGTCATCATTGGAGGACTGTGTCTCATCCTCCTGACCTGATGAATCCTTTATGGTCTCCTCCTTAAATACAATGAAGCAAACAGGAGACTAGTTACATCTGCATACTGGCTGTGGACAACCACAAAGATTATTTAGATGAATTACAGAGTATGTATATAGATTTTGAAAAATATTAATCATAGATGATCTAATCAGAATTAATCCTTGCATCTAGTTTTTCCAGTATGGAAATTTAGGGTTGCAATATTATCCCATGAGTAACAATAAGTGCTGTCATGTTTGTGTGAACTGAGTTTTCTCAGAGATGCAGGGATTTATTTGAGAGAGAGAAATTGATTATATTTGACATCCTTTACCTAATGAAACTGAGCAGAGATGGGGATATGCTGGATTTGCATTACAAAATAATTCTGTTTTGCTAGAAGCAACTCCAGGTATACAGACTTTTTTTGGTGAAGCTGTTTGTATGGATCTTGGGACCAAGGAATAGATTAATTTCACAAATTTTATTATATGAACCACTAGCTGTCCACAAAATTCTCATACTGGGCACTGAAAATGAGTCAGTAAACTTACAGATATTAATAGTGAATGGTACAAGTTCCCTTCACTTTTAATTGGAGACAGTTTTTTAAATGTCTGATGGAATAAATTATATGCAGTTATAGAGACATAAAATTCTTTATAGCTCTCTTTCTTTTAAAATGTAAAAATTCTTACAGAATTTTGGATGTTCTTTTAATATCAGGAATAAGAAATGCTGGATAATAATTTTTAAGTCATATGGAACATTATGAGCTACAGGTGAGATCCTCCGCTTGCATACATATATGTATACTAGTTTGATGAGAGCTAGCATAAGCAAAAAATAGTAATGGAGCCAAAGTAGACAGACAGTGGTAGCACGGCTCAGTCATGCCAAGTACAAACCTGCTTGAATCCCTTATAAGCATGTACCTGGCAAAACTCAGATGTGTTACTACCCATGGTACTGAAGATATTCTCCTATTTATACTTGTGCTTAGTATGTGTACGTGAGCAGGGAATCACACACTTAGCTTGTAGCATAGATGTAGCCAAAAAGTTACTCTTCAAGGTGTGAGGTTCACAAAAACCTTTCCATCCCACAAGAAAATATCAGGATACTCTAAATCTAACATTTGAGTTAAGTAAAAATGGTAAAGAGGTCAAACATTAAAAGAACAGGTCCTGTGCGGAAATGAAACCACCAGTGGGAAATACTAGAACTAAACAAAGTTACATGAGAACGGTTAAAAATGAGTTAGTGGACTGATTTATGCATTGGTGACGATAACAAATGCAACCTGCTCAATATTTGATGCAACATTTCAGACACATTATGCACATCCTTTATTCCTTTAAAGGAAAAACAGAATATAAGCTGCAAGTTTAATAAGTAAACTAGAAATCTAACAGTCCAAATGCAAACACAACCAAATCAATGACACCATAGGAACTTTCCATTTTTAATTTACTGTTATTAATTTTAAATTTCCACTCGCTATACTGCATAAAATACATCCCCCCATTAGTTTTCTATGTTTTTTGTTTCCTTCAGAATGATATTCAAACCTTACAACTTTCATCTTTCAGAGTCATTCAATTTGCACAGACTTTGCAATTTTTACCGGGTAGCTTTTAAATCATAAGAATATAAATGCTTTAAAAAGCTGTTCATGTATTTGGTGCACTCCACCTAAAGAGTGGGTGGGCAAGAGTCCCACTGATACAAGGGATGGAAGTGTCAATGGAATATTGACAAGGGTACCAAAGGCTTATACTCATCCTCATGAGCTTATGGAATTGGAGCTCTATTCAGCATTCAATTTTCAAATGGGTCAGAACTTTAATATATCTTAAAGAAAAACCTGAAGTTCACTTAAGGCACCAATGTACCTTAAGTAAGCAAATGCCATGCTTCAGCCATTTTTTCTGTAGCCCTATTTTAGAAGCATAATTAGAATTTTATAACATTTTAATCCTTTAAAAACTGCTGCTAGGATTTCACTCATATGTTGACTAGAGACTGAACATATGAGAGTTCATGTCAAAGAGCTCTATTCTTAGCTCAGCCAAAAACCCAAGCAAGACATGCGGGCCTACGTAGTGTGGCTTCAAGTGTATAAACTTCATTTTGCTTTATTGAGATGGTATTTACATTACCAGGATCTCAACAACAGTTCTGTCCTTAGGTTTGGACAAAAGTGAAGGAAACCTCTTAATTAGATAACTGACAGTTTGTGATATAACTCATTTCTTGCTACCTTTCTAACGTGGACATGTAGATATTTATGTAGTAGCACTATGTAAATCTATATTAAAAGTAATACAATTAGATACCAACTCAAATTCTGAGCAACTTACAGATGAAAGTGTAATTTTTCATTCTTAGAGATGTCAGCATTAAATTAGTCTACCCACTGTGGGAATTGTGAGCTCCTGATCATCACTGTGTTAAAAGCAGATAAGTTAGCTGGAACAGGAGCTGAGAAAACTATGCCTTTGACTATATGAGGTTAGTATGTGTAAGGTAAGCCAGAAGGGACCACCAAAAGTAAGGCTGTAAAATCCTGTTTAATCAGTTAACTGTTGTGTAATTGGTCAGCTGCTTAAACAGGAACAGGTGGGGGCTCCTAATTAAAGGTAGACCAAAGATTCATCATATGAATCACTGACCTCTAGATACAATTGACTGTGTTGATCTGATCAACTACAGAACCCCCTTTATGATATTAATACTGTGACTGATGAAGTCTGACAGGGGTAGCTGTGTGTGTTGTTTTTGCAGATACAGACTAAATGTCTTGTGGCACCTAAGAGACTAATGGACTTATTAGGGCATACACTTTTGTAGGTAAAACCCACTTCATCTCCAATTTACCTAATGAAGTGGATTTTATCTATGAAAGCTTATGCCTTAATAAGCCTGTTAGTCTCCAAGAGCATGTTTACACTACGGGGAAGATCGACCCTCTGGAGGTTGATCTTCTAGCATTTGCTTTAGCGGGTCTGGTATAGACCCCCAAAATCAAACACGGAAGGCAGCCCCAATTGGCATCCTGTACTTCTCATTCTGTGAGGAGTAAGGGAAGCCGATGGGAGTATGTGCAACCATCTGCTTCCCGCAGAGTACATGTTACAATGGCTCAGTTTAAAGGTAAGCCAAATCCAGCTACCCATTTTGTGTAGCTGGGTGGCATACCTTAAGCCAACCTGCTTGGTCTAGTGTAGACCAGGCAGAGCCGTCCTTAGCCATAGGCAGAATAGGCAGTTGCCTAGGGTACCAGTATTTCTGGGACACCACTCTGCAGGGACTGAAAGGAAGCAGTGGGGTATGCATAAGCAGGGGCTAAACTACTGCTTGCTATCAGCCAGCTAAAAGGAGAGCTACCCTGTGGGTGGGTGTGCTCACTCCAATTGTTTAGCTCTGCAAGATAATTAACTGTTGATATATAAATACAGCTCATGCCAGGAGAGGGAAGGAACTGGAGGTGTGGTTATGTAAATCCAATTCAGCCAGGGCTGATGGAGGATCAGTGTTGGAATGGAATGTGGTTTATTGTAACCAATTTGGGGCTATCTTAGGGGGTCACAAATCATGCCACCCCTAAATGTGGGAACTGTAAAATATGACACCAGTGCTTGCAGGAGAGACACCATCATTGTAAGAGGTCTCAGAGGAACAAGCCTCCCCCCTGCCAGAGTTAAATGAACTGAGTTGGGGGGGGAAGGGCTTGAGGGCTGAGTCAGCCTGCTTCATGCCTGTCAGGTGTGAGCTGTAAGATTGGCTCAACCTGCTCCTTTTCCCCTGGTTTTAAGGACACACCTAAAGCAGACTCCATGAGGTGTCTTTTTGCTAGCCCAGTGGAAGCTGGAATCTTTTACCAGCCTAGGTGGTGGCTAAAGAGCTGAAATCACTGGTTTGGCTGGGAGCTAGACCCGTTGCA